ACACTCGAGTTTTGAACCCGCGTCTTTCTGGTCAGAGCCAAATGCCCTAACCGTTGAGCTATCAGGCCCGACGTCTTTAAGATTGTTGATCGAGACCATACATTAGTAGATAGGCGTACACCGATCAGTTACAGGGCACACCCGCCCTGGCTTTTGATGTCCTTGTGTGTTCGGGAAATCCCGAACGTTGCCACATGACTAATTTTTTTACGTTTCGTGGTTTCAGTCCAATTTACCATCAGAGACAGCCAGCTTCCTTCTGTGTTGGGTTTCATTAGATGCCACTCTGCTTACCACTGCCTATTGACGCGCCGGTTATACTGCTGTCAGACATAATACGCGCGTCAAGTCTTTCCGTGGTTCATAGCGTATCAAAAACCTCAAGGTGATACGTGGTAAATGAAAAGAATATTAGCTGTCCATACACACCAGAATGTACTTAACATTGGACTGTTTGAGTGATGCTTAACACTACATCATGCATGATGAGTATCTTTGTATTCAGAAGGTTAAAAAACATAACTTAAAATGTTCTTTGCGTGTAATTGCCCGTAAGAGGAGAAATCTAAAAAAAACATGTCCACAGAAAATGACTAACCCTCGGGCGACAACTCGGACTTCAGCGTTGTGGGCGCCACATTGACGACTTCCATCAGCTGATTTTTAAGCCTTTCATTCTCCTCCTTTCAAAATAGAAACATTTATACAACAACAACCCTCATCTCACCATCAGTTCACGAATCATCCTGTCTTGGGACTTGTCGTTGATGACTGCTTTGGTTTTGATCTGTTTGGCTCGATCGGCGTAGCGCAGCGTCGACAATGTTTCATCATAATTAATATCTGCCGGTGAAATTGCCGCTATCATTACGGTTTTACTTAAATAAGAAGAAGTAAAAATTATCTTTAACAAGCAATTGATGGTCTTCACGTCGATGAATGACGACAAACAGCAAAAGACGAACACTGAGAAAAGGATGTGCTTGAAAACAAGACTCTGGATTGAAAAGCGCATATTTCAGAAAAGCAAGTAATGAATGCCCAGAACAACTGTAATTACAATCTTCAGTGGAATTAAATGCTTCTATTTTGCAGGTTGTGACGAACACACCATCCAAAATTGTAGGTACGTGGGATGTGGGAAGTAGTCAATTTGGTACGGGAACTCAACTGTTGAAATTTCCCGTGGAAAGATGACGAAATAAGAAGATTTTTATGGGCATGTGAGGTGAGTTTGCCCAAAATGAATGTGGGCAATACATAGGGTTAGCCTTGCCGACTGGGAATATAAGAGCACTTTGAATAGGCATCATTTTCCCATCTCTTGTGCAAAAGGTTATTAACATTTACTCTCTACTGAAAACAAACGAGTAGAGCATATTTATATGGAACAAACACCATCACTCTTAGGAGGAAAGAAAGCGCGTTATACTCGGTAATTTTCGAATTGGGCTTACCAACGCCTCTTCAACTAAAATTAAACAAGGGGGAAAGTGCGATAGACACGCCATGACCTCCTGTCTTCCTTCTTTGATCCAATTATGTTGACTCTGGGTTTATCGCCAGGACAAAGAAATAAGCAATGTGAGAATTTCTTGAGGCTTGCGCTCCGTTGCGGGCACCATCAACCGTCACGTCGACCTTGACGCCCATTAGAAGTGACTCTGATCACGGCCCGCTGACTTCTTCCAGCATCCCACATAAAAATCCGCCAATCCGGTTGCCTACAGTCCTACTTACTCTCCAGTACATGGAGCAGGCTCTATACCATAGTACATATTCCCGAAGGCAACCGGCAGGACGAGCCCGTAGTTTAGTTTATATAACGTTCAACTCAATGAATAAAGGGTCCGGGTCCGAAACCCCGCTGCTGTTAACTTGCGGTAGGGTATGACTAGCTGGCCACTCAAGTCTCCCCTCTCTTTATAGGTAATTGCTTTTATATACATAAATATATAAAGCTAATAAATGCAAACATTATTTTTTGGAACCCCACCCGAAATTCAAATAGTCGCTTTATATTCTTGATTGATACCCGAACAAGAGGGAGCCCGTGGTTCAATGGGTTAGAGCGTTTGATTTCTGATCAGTAGGGCACAAGCGCGAGTGCCGTTTGATGATGGGATTGGGTATGACTGGCTGCTGACGACTACTGCGTCAGTAATGCCCATTTCAGTCTTCTTTATCTTTGCCAGTAATGTGTTTCTGCCCATATATATGTATGTATTTTGGTGGAAATTCCATTGGGAAACGATAACAAAAGTTATCATGCAAAACTTCGACGTTGGTTCCCCGTGTCGCCATCAGGCGTGCAAAGAGCGTACAGAACAGTTGGAATTTTTAACTTCGAGTGGAAGGAGAAGTCAACAATCAGTTACCCGCCCTTGATATCCAAATTGCAAAACTGCCAGACAAGAAGATAAGGACAACGGTCTCCCGTAAAAAAACTAACACTGGGCGCACCCTACACTTCGATGCATCCATCCTGTCGGTCACAAAAGCAGTGGTGTCCAAACCCTCTTCCGACGTGTTAAAAACCACCATAGCGAGGAAATTGGAAGCAGGAGGAGATGAAGTATTTGCATGCCCTTTTGAGAGTTAGCCGTTATGCGAAATCCTTCATCCGCAGGTGCCTCAGGAGACTTCGTTTTCAGCGGTCGATCAAAGGGAAGCCAAAATTCTGGTTCGCAGTCCCCTGCGTGAAAAACGTTTCAAGGGCAACGAAGTAAGTCCTTAAGCCTTTCGGCTAATAGACGTCCATGCACAATCAGCCAACAAGTCAGGAAGCACAGAGACCAGCGGCCGGTAACTGGATAATCAGCAGTGGTTTATAGCATTCCATGCCAAAATTGCAATGCCAATTATTTTTGTGAAACGGGTAAACGGCTGGATAAAAAATACACGAATACCAACTTGCAATCAACCATAAGAATATGCTGCCTTTGGTCTATGGCCACATACAACAGCATAACCATGATGTCGCTTTTGAGGAAGCTAGGTTGATCGACAGAGCCAATGAGAACATGGCAAGACAGCTGCTCGAAAGTCGGCCCTCGACTGGCACTTTCAACCGAGAAGTAGACTGGCATCCCCCCAGCCAGGCAATTCGTACAAGGCTCAAATCAATCCGGACAGAACTCATAGGAAAAACTAGCAGGCGGTGCCGAGAGGCGACGCTACAGAAAATAGGGATGCGGTTGGTAGTCACGTGACCAACATCCAACGTTAGTTCATTTATGCGTTCGCGAAGCGGAGAACAACTCAAGCTAACAACAACGATTGATAAGTCCGCCGATTAACGTGGACAGAGGCCAACAGGCACATTGACGTGTCTACAAATACGCCGGGCCGCAACGAGGACAAAGATCCTCCAAGATGTCAGAGGCAAACTTCCGGAAGATTAAATGTAGCCAGCAGCGAAAGGGTATGTTAAAGTGCGCGCGCTCAGCACGGCTATAATATGAAGCAGGCGACAAGACTTACTAAATCGGGATCACCATACGCAGCAAGTGCAGAGTTTTGATGACAGAATCGAGGGGAGTGCCAAAACGTCAGTATAATTAAAATTCGGCCCACAATCTCGTGCCTACCTCCCCTTCCACTGCTACTGCTTTTTTCTTCTTAGTCTTCTTCATCGGAAGATGATGTACGCGATAAGATATCTGGACCTTGAACCTTTACGCATATATATTTATAGATGCAGGATGGCATTACGGAGGAAGACAAAAGAGACTTGAGCGACCATTCTGGATTATTAGTCGTCGTCAGCCAGCCAGCCATACCCAAACCCAAGTAGTGCCTCACCTGAGCTTCGAACCCGTGAACTTGTTATTTAGATGTCCAAGTC